CATAATAGTTTAGAACATGTTGTATTACCAAGAGTTGGAAATTATGAAGGAGGATCACAAATTTTAATAAAAGCACTTCGTCATTGTATAAATATTATTGATTTACGACTACAAATTCGCCAAGGAGAAACACAAGATTTTATGGAATTCTTTAACAATAATAATCGACTTGAAATAACAACATTTATTTGTCATGGAGATTTTAATGTTGAAGAATTGTTAACACAAATGAGTCGTAGATGGCCGAATACATTATCAACCCTAAATATTAAAGGACAATGGATGATAACACCAGAATCTTTAAAAACATTTCTTAAAGATAGTAAATCATGTTTAAAACATTTGGATTTACATTCATCTAATCATCTAACGGATGATCATGTTGCAGCAGTTATTGAATATTTAAAAGAAATGAAAGCGGCGAAAAAACCTCATTTATGTAGCATCTTTATGTCTGGTGACCGAATAACGAATAACGGAAAAGCGAGGTTTTAATTTAAATTCTTGGAAAATCATTGGATTGTGATGTATTAAGTAAAGGTGGGATTTTTATAAATCTGTTATTTAAATTATTGAAATTTATCTAATTTAGATTTAATCGTAAAAATATTCTTTTTAAAAAAAAATTTAAAAATATTGTGTATTAAAAACGTTGTGTATTGGATAATTATCTATTTATACATTTATACATTTATATTTTACTATACAACTTGGTACTGGATAGTTTTAGTTAATATTGGTGATTAAGTTTTTTTTTTAATCTTGGCGATTAAGTTTTTTTTTTTTTTTTTTTGTATTGTAAAATTAAAAAATTAACCTGAATTACTACTATTCTGTGTATATGTTAAAAAAAAAAACCAAAATAGACTGTATACATTTTATAGACTGTAAAGTTTGTACAAACCAATCTTTTTTTTTTTTTTTTTTAGGCAATCAGATATAAGTTATATATAAAATCTTTGCTTTTGTTAATTTTTATCATCTTAAATATCTTAATAATATATATTTAAACCGTACGTACGTAATTTCAAAATTATCACATAAGTTAACTT